CTCTCTCTCTCTCTCTCTCTCTCTCTCTCTCTCTCTCTCTCTCTCTCCTAACTTTTTGGCTAGAATTCCCAATATAATGTTGAATAGAAGTGGTGACAGCAAACATTCTTGCCTTTCCTCATCTTAGAAGGAAATGATTCATTCTTTTGCCATTAAATATCACATCAGCTGTGACATTTTTGTAGATAACCTTTATCATGTTGTAGAAGTTCCCTTTTATTCCTACTTTTTTGTTTTTGTTCTCTCTCTTTTTTTTATTCATGAAGGGATGTGGTATTTTGACAAATATTTTCTCATCTATTAAATGATTATACGGTTTTTGTCTTTTCTTGATGTGATGTAAAACATTTGTTGATTTTCAGATGTTAAAAAACTTTTTCATTTTGGGGATAAATTTTACAAGGTTACAGTATAAAACTTATTTCTATGTTGCTGGTATTTTATTGAGGATTTTTGTGGCCATATTTATAAGAGAATTTGGTTATAGTTTTCTTTTTTAAGGGATGTGCCTGGTTTTTGTATCAAAGTAATACTGTCATTATGACTGTTAAGAAATGGAGTCTCCTCTTCCAGTTTTTGGAAAAGTTGTGATGAGTTGGTGTTGATCTTTAAATGCTTGGTAGAAGTCACCAGTGAGGTCTTCTAGTCTAGGGCTTTTATTTGTGAGGGTTTTTTTTTTTTTTTTTTTTAATAGTTGGACCCAATACCTTTATTTTATTTAGTTTTTTCTGTGGTGCTGAGGATCGAACCCAGCGCCTCGCATGTGTTAGGCAAGCACTCTACCACTGAGCCATAACCGCAGACCTGTGAGATGTTTATTAATAATTTAATCTTCCTACTTGTTATATGTCTATGCAAATTGTCCATTTATTCTTGAGTCACTTTTGGCATTTTTGTCTTTCTAGAATTTCCCCATTTCATCTAAGTTATCTAATTTATTGCTATGCAGTTAATAACAGTATTCCCTTATAACTTGTTATTTCATTAAATTCAGCAGTAATGTGGAGATATATTTTTAATTGCTTAGTTCAAGAACATACTATGTTTGAAGTTGTCCTTTATTGTTTTTAAAAATCCATGTAATATATCTCTTTTAATACAAAAATAATATTTAATATCACTTACCTCTAAGTGAAATTGAAGAACCAGGGAGAGTTCCCTATATTTTTTTCTGTTATTTCAACAACTCACGCTTCAAGCAAGGCCTAGGTCCCCCAATTTGAGCATGGAAAGGTCAATTCGCTTCAGTCATCTCTTCCCAGGACCGCTCATCTGGCCTTAACTATAAGACCCAAAGTTTAATTAGCAGGGTTCCACAACAGACTCACAAAGTGGAGAAGCAGGATGAGAATTGACTAGTCACAATATGTAGATGGATCCATCCACAAAACATCCCTGAGTCCTCCTGAGATATTTTGTTGAAGGGTGTACCTGTGCCGTGTGTGTCTGTGTTCAGGATGCAGGTGGCAGTGCAGGGACAAGGGTTAACAGTTGATCTTCTAGCTCCAGGACGGTAACAGCAAAAATTAGACCCGAGAAGAATATCTGTCCGATCCACATTCCAGATTATTGACTTTCACACAAGTTGTGTTTCTTTCAATTTCAACAAATGAGATCTAAGCCCACATTCAGATATTCCTTGGTTTCGATAAAGAAAATGAAAACCCAAAGTGAAACTGTTTTCATAATAAACTGTTGGTCTTTAGCACATCTAGTAAAGTGGAATTCATGTAAACCTGAGATGGAAATGATATTTTAAAAGATACATTCACTTTAAAATTACCAAAGCCTTAAAATTAAATACTCACATTCTTCATTAATTAATTACTCAACCTTTGTTCCTCATTAAGATCATCATTAACTTGTGTTTTAAATTCACCATAATAAAATGAATTCTATTTGCTCTCTTTATTTTTTCTTAGAAAAACTGTTCTTGAAAACCACCTGCTACTTAATGGTTCACAAGTTTGGATCAGACATCATAAAACTGTGAGTATGACATGGCATTGAAGTTGAGTCAGTTGCTCTGGCCTTCAGGGAAACTGGGAGAGAGGAGCCTTTGTTCGATGGGTTTACCAGACAAGGACTTGAGCTGATATTCCAGGTCTTGGTAATACTGGAAAATTGAAACAAGATTCAGCTCCTTTGTCACTCTAGTGAGGCTCACCTTGAATTGCAGTGTGGGAAGCTGGTCACTTCCTCTCCAAGAGGCTTTCAGAGGGAATTTACCTACTACAGATGACCCTAGAATATTGGCTGACACAAGCACTTGCCCCCATTGCCCATGGGCTGCCCAACCTGTGCCCACTCTTCCCCTCACCTCCAAACCCCTATTCTCCAGGGTCTTCTCTCCTCACACTGGCTGGTTTCTGTAAGGTCAGGCACCAGTGATCAACAGTAGGCAGATTAAAAGCTGCTGAACAAGGCTTTATTGAGATGTGCTCCCTGGCGAGACCCTCCAGTCTAATAGAGCGGGTTGGGATTGGAATTTTATTGGGCTTAGTGCGGCAAGAAAGGGCTTGGGACAGGAAAGGGAGGTTTTTAGAGTCCTCCTGTGGTTGGTCAGGTGATCTTGCTGAGATCTGTGTCCTTCCAGGATTGGCCAGGAGACCCCGCTGATTGACAGGTGGTGTGGGTTGCCTGGTGCTTTGTTCCCTTAGCCACCTCAAACCCACCTCACTGTTTCCTGGCTCACTCCATCTTCCCAGCTCCATATCATCATCACTACCTGCTTATTTTTCTCTTTTTATCTTTCTTCCTTCTTCAGCTCAGGGCCCTAGACTAGTTAAACCACATTCCTATTTGCGGCACAATTTTACCAGCAAGCCACATATGGCTTTCCTGTACGTGAGATGTAGTTACTTACTTAATCACTTTGAGTACTGTAATAAGCACCCCAAACTGAAGTCCAGAACCTTGACAATCACTTAGTCTAACCACGTGGTCCCTCTCTTTCTTTCTCGTGCTCTTCCCACCCACGGGAACATCATCCAGCATACCCTGTCCATCCTTCTCTTACTGTCCTCTTTCTATAGTTTAATTATATACAAAAATGTAAATTACATAATAGGTAGGTCATGTATCTCTCTTAAAAGCATATAATTTTATTTTATCTGTTTTCTTACTTTAGGGAGAGGGCATCATATTTTATAGACCTTTTGGAACTTATCACTTAAGTTTGTATGTCTAAGATGCCCTCACATAGTTGTGTCACGGCTGTGGTTCATTCACTCCAACTGGACATAACATTGCTTGGTGTCTCTACAGTTGTTAGTTTACTCCCCCTCTCTCTGATGGGCATTTGAGTTGTTTCCTGTTTCCCCTCTGTGAACAGTGCTCCTAGGAACATTCTCACAGGATTCCTCTTTGATGTGCCATTAGCCTTAAAGTAGAGAGGCTCGGAAGACAGCACCACCCTCCACAACAGATAGCCTAGAGCCACAGAATTTTAAAGTCAGAAGGAGCTTAAATTAAAAAGACAAGGGAGATAAACGGTGTTATACCGTGCTGTATTCCTGCCTCTACTAATACTCAGCTTGCTCCATTACAGTGATTTATCATGAGCCTTGGAGTGTGAATGTTCAAGGGCAGGTACCCAGGCTTTTTAGCAAATACCTTGATTATTGCCACTAGCTCCTCACCAGAACAGATGTGCAGGCTTGCCCATTGCCCTGCAATGCCATAACCTACGATATTATTAGACTATTATCTTTTGAATGCAAAGCTAATCATGGCACTCCCTTTGCATAACATTCCTCAAAGTCAGCACTCTGCAGGATTCCTACCCTTGTGCACAAAAGTCTTCATGAAGTGGTCCTGAGGACTTTTCCAGATTCATCCCTTGCTACCCCACAGGACCTACTCCACTTATAGTTCTCCTTACCCACCAAGAAGGTTTTGCCTTAAGACATTTGTAGATGTTTCCAAGCTTGGCACATGCAAAACCTCAACTCCCAGAACTCAGCTCCAGGTCACCTCTTCTGGAAGCAAATGCAAGCTAATATGAACATGCTACCCCCACTACACATAGGCCATAGGCACGCACACACACACACACACACACACACACACACACACGCATGCACAATCTCCTAGAACCAATGCAAACCTCTAGCACATCATTTATTGCACCTGTTTGTAATTTAATGATCCCTTTACTTTTCTGAGTTGCTACTAGATTGAAAGTTTTATGAGGACTAGGACTGCATTGCACTCATTTTTATATCTCCAAGTAAGTACTTAGCAAAATATTGACTATTCAAAGAAGAAAGGAAGGGAGGAAGGGACAGAAGGAGAGAGGGTAGGAAAAAGAGGAGGGAATGAGGAAAGGAGGAGAGAACTTTGCATCTCCAGGATCTGATGTAATACTTGAGTGTATAAAATCTTCAATTCATGTTTGTTAACTAGTGAAATCTTTAAATAAATAAAAGTATTACTTCAATTGAGCCATGACCAGACTGCTCCAAAGAAAATATATTTGATAGTAATATTAAAATAGAAAAGTAGAAAAACACCTTTAATCCTAGTCAATGAATCTGTTTACACATTTAGTGCTAGCCAATGCTGTTGGAAGAAACACTGCTTAGGCAGAGAAACCCTGGGGCACTTAGGTCAAGGCACCAAACAGACAACTGGAAACAGTCACAGAAGCCAAAGGGAGTACAAAGGCAATACATACCCATGACGAAAATGGGTACCAAAGAGCAGCTGCCATGCAAAATATTCTTCTGTAGCAGGCTGTAGAGTAGCAGGTGTGAGAGATAATTAAGCACAAGGTCAGAGAGAGGAAACACAGGGTACTAAGTATTGTAGTTACAGTTGGTGAACTATACAACAGACAAATGTACATGCTTGTTAAGAAAGAATCAGCCCAAGAAGTCACCAAAAGAAGGACCTACTCCTGAGTAGGTAGTGGGGAAGAAAGAAGCTAGTATTTTCCTAAGATAAGTAATTCTCATAAGCACCAAGTAGGTTATTTTTAAGTAAGACAGTTGCAATAAATTATTCCTTTTCATGGTTCTGTCCTCCTCTTGTTTTGTGTGTCCATAATGTTTCTGTACCCATCTTACTTATATGCTGACAGGAATATCTCTTCATATGGTTTGTTCTTCTTATGTTTTCAGTTAGGTAATCAGATACAGCTCTGGGTCAATGTAGGCCCTGAAAATAACAACCACATGATTTAGTTTTACCTGAATATCAGCCTTAAAATATTAAATGTGTTCCTAACCCAGAGGGCATCATTCCTATTATTTCATACCAGTCTGTTCTCAATAATTCATGGACTAATTATGCAGCAATTACATTCCCTACCCACAGGCAGAACCACGGGATGCTGTAGAGAAGTAGGACACCTGAAAACTTATGCATTCCCACAAGAACCTGGGTCATGCCGAGTCTTAGTGTGTTTGGGCTGCTATAACAAAACCCCTTAGACTGGAGTAATTTATACACCACAGACATCTATCACTCCCAGTTCTGGAGGCTGGGAAGTACAAGATCAAGCCATCAGCAGATTCTATCTGGCAAAGGCTTACTCTTTGCTTCATAGAAGCCACCTTCTCCCTGTAGCCTCACATGGCAGAGGGAGCAAATAAGCTCCCTTGGTCCTCTTTCATAATCCCATGATGCAGGCTTTGCCCCTGTGACCTGATTACCTCTAAAGGCCCCACTTCTTAATACCACTGCGGATTGGGTTTCAGCATGAGTTTGGGGGAAATTCAACCTTCAGGCAATAGCATATCAGGAGGAGCTAGCTAAGAAGTCCAGTTCTAGCCAGTGTCCATGTGCTAGGTCCCTCTCTATCAGACCTGACCTCTGTTGTTCTCAATGTTGCCACAGAAAACCTGTCTCTGGGTCCTGTCAGTCTCATCTTGCTTCTTGTTATCTATTGATATTTTCCTCTAAATTGTGTCCCAAGACCAGTAGCTCTTAGAGATTAGAAAAGCCTACACTATTAACATTTTTAGAAGAAAAATGCAAAGCAGAATTCATAACAATTATGTACAATTTAAATATAACTAATGGCTTTTCTAGATATCAAAAATATAAAGCAATGTAATCATATTATTCTCAAGATAATTATAATTATAGAAACTATTAAGCTCATAGTATACTCTAAGGAATGTGGTCCAAAAATGGGGTAAAATATTAAATTATATGAGGAAGATCTTTCAATTCTGTTGGCATGTTCTTTGCTTGGAATTACTATATAAAACTTCATTTGAGAGTAAGGTCAAAAGTCTGAATTTGAGCATCTTCAAGTGAAAAAAGTCCTACCCCCTAATCTTTTCTGTAGGTTCTATTACTTTGCCCATCTGGAAACCCCAAGTCTCTTCTTTAGATTTATGATGATAATGATCATCGTCATCAATATAATTCACCATGATCCTAATTAAGCCTGTCAGTTGTTTCCACCAAATGAGTTGAAGGCTCCCTCCTGCATGCCTCACTCCTGTGCAACTCTATAAAGATAGTAAAAGGAAATAAATTAATATGGGATGTGTTCTGTGTGTATGGAGCTTGGAAGTTACCACTTGGTCCTTATGATAAGTAAAAAGCTGAACAAACTGAAAAATCAACAGTACATCTAAAATTCTTAAGAGAAATAAGGTCACTGGACAAACCACTGCCTCTAACACTTGAGAGAGAAGGTGGAAACAGAGAATCACAACTTCCTAGAAGTAGAAGAAACTGCCACAGAAACAAACCAGTAGTGGAGCACAAAAGCCTGAACTGTTCTCTTGACCCATGCTTGATGTGGTCAAATATGAGAGTTAAGACTCCAGAGGTCATTGCCATGGGGGTGTGTTACCATTTGTAACTGGAATGTTCCCCAAAGGCTTATGTGTTGAAGGCTTTGTCCCAAATACATCAGTGTTCCGAGGTGGAATTAGCGAGTAATGATTAGATCATGAGGGCTCTGGTCTCATCAATGGATTGATCCAGTGATGAGTTCATCAAATGGACTATTGAGAGGTGGTGGGACA